GAGTCAACTAGCCTATTGTTACTTGGAGGTAGGGAGGTTTGCCCTTAATCGCCAAAGCCGAAAATCGATGAAAGTAGTGTGCATTGGGAGAGGCTTATGTCCAGCAGTGGACTGCGATAAGCTGATGATGATGAAGAATTGTTACTTTTACTTAAATACACCTGAAACAACATGGGTATAGTATAGGTAACTGTCCGTGTGGTAACGGAATATTAATTGATTTCTTATATATCATGGACGTATAAAAAAAGTCGGACATAGCCTCCTTAACAAAAAAACGTGTCACGCATAGTCGGCCAGCTCGCTGTACGTACAAGCCGGCACGCTTACATGGAAAACATCAAGACAGAAAAATATAAATTTACAACACGTTTCGCGTAATGAAATGCCTTCAAAACCGTAGACCAAAAGAAAAATAATCTGTTTCATACTCGTAGGTAAATTAATAATTCAATCTCTTATTTAGATATATTATATAGAGTATGGAGAAATTATTGGCTTCAAATAATTAAAAACTGTAATGTTGAATATGAAGGACAACACAAACATATGCTCACAAAAGTTCTAGAAGAGTTTGTTGGCTCGTTTTTTAAATTTTTTACTCCAACCACACTTTCGCGAGAATAGAACACAAAATAAGTCTTTTTAAATAATAGCGGAATAATATTGAACGATTCGGTTTCACCACATCTCGAAATTAGAGGTAATTTCGAGAACCTACTAAAAAATGACTCAGCACTTAGAAAACTAAAAAGTAGAAACAGTCAAATTTCGAATAAATAAAACATTTTTATTTATTGACTGTGTCAATAAATGTGTCTGTGTCAATAAATTTTACGGCATAAATTTGGGTAACTCTGCGACCCCAAAATTTCATTCCACATAGAGAGCTGCCGCCATTACTGTGCCTCAATTTTGTCTTTTTACAAATGTTATAAATATATTAATAATACGGACAATAAAGGCTTTCGGTGTAATGTGACAGTAGGTAACTATACAGAAGTCATGAATCAAAACTTATAGTTAAGTTATATTGGATAAAGAAATTAAACTTAGTAAATTATGGTCGACATTCTAGAACTAAATAGGCGATCTCTAGGAGGTCCCGCTAAAGGATAGAACAATACCAAGAAAAATTATTGAGCTTGTTTTTCAAAAAAGTTTAAATCTTATTTATTCACCATAGATTGTATGTACACTAATAGATTTTCTACTTTGACCACACTGCCGTAGCATGTAGATACTAGTTTTCATTTCGGACAGTCAAACACGACCTTCTTCCTCTCCTAAGAGAAATCCTCTGTACCTATGTACAGACTACGATTTAACTTACGTTTCTAGACAACGCAGTCTTTGCTTTAGGTACTATAGAAATTTAAAAATTAAATAGAAATTATTATTAAAGTCAAGGTTCGACCTTTAATAGTTTAATAAGTATAGCACGTATTTCATCGTTTTTCTAACAGTTTCTTAATTGGATCTTAATTAACTACAATCTAAAATAGACTTTGCAATGCACTCTAATCTTTTAGTTGATAATCGAGACAGAACAATATTCGTCAATGTTTTCACATTTCATAATTTGTATCTCTTAATTAAAATAGAGTGGCCGTGAGTTTGTTTGCCCTTTCTTCTCATAAGACTCAAGCTCTTGGAAACGGGCGACTGTAGATCGGCACAGGCATACAATAGATTTTCGAGCTATATATTATTTATTTTGCTAAATATTTGACAATACAGAGATGGTTGCTGTTGTAAAAGTTTATAAAATAAAGATATTTTGACATTGAGTTTGATTTGAGGTTGCCTGTACAAAAATCGTGATCTATGACAAAAAAATACCATATCGTGAAAAATCTTATCCTTGATGGCTTTATACTTTCTGCTTTAAAAAAACCCGAACACCACCCGACACGCACTTGGCCGGTGTTTTTAACATACCGAATAGATCTGTCAAAATTCATAAAACAGTACTTTTATTAATAACGACTAAAAGATTAACAGTCTTGACATTCTCACAATTTTAGTGGTAGGTACCTTTTTTCTTGACAGTGAAGTATAGACAAATAGACACTAACTGACTCCAATTCAAAATATGAATAAGATTGTGATCTCTCTGTTTACAATAATGATTTATTGCTGTTATCGGGGAAACTACTTCTGACGTTAGAAATGTTATAATATAGGAGTATGTCTAGGGTGGGTTCAATGCTTAATCTAGTTTTAATATTAATTTTATTATTATCTGTGCAGATTGACAGTAGCACAAACCTTATTAGACACCAACAATCTATTTTTATTACAGGCGTTAACTTAATAAAACCTTTGCATAATTCAAAACAAGAAATAGAAACAAATGCAACTCGTGTTAAGAAACTTATATTGTTTGAAAGCTCATTAAAATAATCTATTTGTCATTCTTGTCTATTTCGGACATAAGAAATATCATTGATATATCCCCGGGGTTCGGAGTCCGAGCCGACAAATGGACCACAGAGATTTCTATCTCCAAAGTCATGAGTCACGATATACGGCTTTGGTGTCGGATAATCAATAACTTTTTAAACTTTCTATGTTAATGAAAAGATGAGTAAAAGTATGGCAAGAGCACCTGTAGTTTATTGCTATTCTATGTATCGATTTGATGTTTTCGCAAAAAATCGATTAACAGAGATAAAACTAAAGGTTTCCTAACATTTTTAAATAGATCACACAACATGGTGATGGGTAGATACATACGAGTATATATTATAATTTATCCATTAAATTAAGTAGTATTATATGAATAAAATTGTAAGATTGAAGAAGTTGTAAAAAATTGTCGTAATTAAAATATTAAACGAAAACATTCTAACTTACAACTTTATAAGTAATAGATGACTTGGTACAAACGTTACGTCACACTTGCGATCAGTCTCATCTTTCTTTCTTTCTTGTCTTTATTGAATTTGGGATCAATCAGAGGTTTAAAGGTTTTGGCTGGTTTCGTTTATTTTTCTTCTTGTAAATGTTACCATAAAAAGGAAGAATTTAAGGGAGACACAGTACTTTGATGAGACTGAAGTAACAGATGCGTATGTCTGTTCACTAGAGAGACTCTAAGAATGGGCTACTAACTGACCACGGAACAGTTTATCATCATCATCCGTCTATCGCCGTTCATTGCTGAACGAAGGCCTCCTCAAAGGAGCACCAACTATCTCGGTCCTGAGCAGTGCGCATTCCGCATCCATCCGCTGCAGACCACTTTCCTCAAGTCGTCGGTCTATCGCGCCACAGAGCAATAAACATTTGCGGTGCAATAATTTATTTTACTTAATAACTATTTTATAATTTGAGGAGATACTAGTTTACAGCGAGAGAAATGGGTGGAAAGTATTTGTTTTTAGGAATTTGAACGCTCATATAAGTAGAGATTGCTATAGATAACTTGACAAGAACTACAAAAATAGTCAGGTAAGTGTTACTTAAAGTTCATGATCGATCTTCAATCGAAAACAATATACACAGTAAATGCTATCATGTGTCGCGGGGGACTTTACAAACATACATGAAACGGACACAAAGAACACCCAGACTCAGGACAAGAATTAAATTCTCTTTAAAAAAAAAAATTTTGTGGATCACACAACGTGTCGTTACATGTGGGGACCGAACCCACACTCAGCTCACAACAACTCACTCATTTGATGAAACAAGGAAAAAAATACATCAACAAATAACTCTAGTCTAACTACAAAACTATGAAGCGCCTACTCATAGACTCTAGACATTAGTCACAGAAACATAACAGAGGTATTAGTTGTTATATAGGATCTGGTACACTCAGTCAGTCCATAGTTTCTATTGTGCAATATAGAAAAATATCTAAAAGACAGCTTCATTTTGTACTCGAAAAATACAAATATTGATCTGAAAAAATACTGAGCCGTTAATACTAAATGTACAATTAAACCTTTTTTTTCGGTTGTGTAACTATAACATGGGATCTACCCAATTTACATATCTAATAATGATAAGCGCTTACCACAACATACAATACTGTTAACATTTCTAAATGAGAGGGCACGGCAGAAGTAACATTAGGGTAGGAAAACTTCTGCCCTCTTTAACTATAATTAATTTTTATTACATAAAATACATTTGCTTTTAGAATTTAGACTAAAAATAAAAGTAGGTCCCTAATGTTTTAGTACCTATCCGTTAAAAGTTTAGCGCATGTGTTATTAAAAAAAATAGGTTGGATTAAAGTACTTGATGTTAACATAAGCTCAATTTTTATAATATATTAAAATATTTGAATAATGGAAACCTTTTAAAAAATAGTAAGGATTTTTCATAAAAATCATTTTAGTCTGACATCTGTGAAAACATTTAAGTACTACGTAAAAGCAATACATGATAACATCCTGACAGATGGCAGTTGTATCGAATGCACCTTCTTTTGTTCTTATTTTATTGAACAAAAATTTATTTTAGTAAACGAGTACTTACTCATAAAGGTATACTTAATTTATGTAAAGAATTTAAGATATTTGAACATTTTAATTTTAAAGTAATGACATCTGACGGGATAATAAAAAATAAATTTACTAACGCCATCTACCTTCCGGTAGAAGAGTCCTATGACACGTACATTTGTTTAGTTGTCATCGTAGCTTGTATTTGATTGGTCTTTTAAATGTGCATGTTTCATATTGACCAATTAAGTTGCACCTTGTCCTTCGTTTGTTAAAAACACTAAATGGCTTAGAAAACTAACTGTTTAACTCGTTTTCGTTCTCGTGTTTCTACTGTGCAAGTTCACGATAACAAAGTGCATTTTTATGTGTAGTGCATTGTAAAATGACCTAAATTGTGATTGATAAACCCTAACCGTTGTGTATGTCAAAATAAAACAGAAAGATTCTGTGAAAAGCGATGTGAGACTCTCCTTGGCAGTGTTCTAAGATTGTGTTCATATCGAAGTTTCATAATAGTGTCTTATGATAAAAACTGAGATGTCTACAAAGCCAGCAAATCAGAAAAGAAGGTGAGTGTTTATAATTATTTTTAGGTTTTCTTTGACTAGACTTATAAACTCATATGAAAAGTTTCTATAAATGTAGGTGTAGAGTGTGTGTTTTTCATTTTCCTGTTAATCGGATTGCCACTGTCATCGTGAGCAATAAACTTTCTCTTAACATTTCAACAATTTTCAATTTTCAATCAATTTTACACATATTAAACTTAATTATTTAAGTTTTGGTTTAAGACGACTACAGACAACTTACCATACTTATTGATAGGACCACCATTATAGTCATCAAATTGCTCTGCTTATCTGTATTTTAATGTTATTGGTTCCGGTTTCTGAAGGTTTCTTATGACTAAATTGTGTTGTAAATAAGTTAAATCTAAACAAGTGCAATAAAATTCTCTCAATTTAAAGTGGAGACTAGGTAACTAGGGTTATCAATAAAGGGTGGCAGACCAGTTGTAACCGAAACATTTTTTTATTAATAAGTTTCATTACCTCATGAAATATTATGTTATTATAATGAATGGGTAAAATGTACATATAAACTAACATAATAGTTTTTATTAGATTAATATTAGTATCAATACCATTTATTATCAGTAACAACTGTTTTAAGTTATGGCAGACTGTTATGGCATCAAAACAACTATCAATACACCCCACATTAAAATGATATCCTTTTAGGTGTGTCCAAAGTTTCATTATTTTGTAAGGTATTTATTTCACATTCATTACATCACCCACCATCCATGTGGATCTGTACTGAAATGTGTCATAGACATGTCATTGAACTCATCTTTAAAAGCTTTTAAAGTTAGTTCTACTACCATTTTGAAAAGTTAATAAAGAATTAATATTATTTAACAGGAATTAACGCGATCTCTTATTTAGGGTATTACATACCTCTGGTTTGCCTGACGTTTCGACCAGGTTGCACCGGCCGTGGTCACAGGCTGACAGTCAGCCTGTGACCACGGCCGGTGCAACCTGGTTAAATAATATTAATTATCATGGAACGCGAAAGTTTAAAAGTTAGTAAGTTAATAAAGAAACATGAGAGAATTTTTTTAAGTAACAAAATGGTTTCTTGCTAAGGTTATATTGTGCAAGTATTTTTTCAGGTGCAGTATACACATAACAAACATGTAAATATCAACAAAATGGTTGTAGTTAGTTGCAGATATTTATTCTACGTAATATATTTGTAAAAAGTATGCAAGCTGAAGTAAACCACATCCTCACATTATTTAGCTGAGGCACGAGGCTAAAGACTAGGTAGGTCTTTTTCAATGACTTCCGACAAGACTGGATTAAAAAGCCTCTATATATAAATATTGCAGTTCATATGAGATACTAAACAAGTCAGTAGTAGACACTATATTTAATAGCTCTTTATTTTGGATTAATTTTCCACTCGCAGCAAGATCTAATACTTTGTGTTGGTCCAGTCAACGCTAGTAGTAAGTCAAATTATAAGTAAGAAAAATGAATTTAAATAAAATTTATATATATAATAGATCATCATCTGCCTACCCTTTTCCCAATTTTATTTGGGGTTGGCGCAGTATGTATGATTTTTCCATTCTACTCTGTCATGCGTCATCTCACTGTTTACTCCCTTCCTAGCCATATCCTCCCTCACGCAGTCCATCCACCTTTTCTTCGGTCTGCCTCTTCTCTTGTACCCTTCAACTCCCATACCTAAAACTTTCTTCGCCACATTTTCCTCATCCCTCCGCATGACATGTCCATACCAAGATAACCTATTACTTCTTAACTTTTTATCCAGTGGCGCTACTTTCAGACTCCCTCGTATATAATCATTCCTAACCTTGTCCATCTGAGTCACACCACACATCCATCTCAGCATTCGCATTTCGGCTACGTTCAGGCGTCTCTCATCCGTTCTCTTAAGGGGCCAACTTTCAGAACCATACAGGACTGCAGGTCTGATAATAGTTTTATAAATTTATATATATAATAGATATGACACAATTTAAAAACGTCTAAGACTAAATTATTTGTAGAAATATTTCCATACCAAATGCTCAGAAACTAAATCTGCAAATTATTATTATCTTTTAAAAAAGTATCTCAAAAGTTACTCATGCTAAATTGTATTCTTTATTCCTTTATTTTTTCCTAAGGGGTGGTATTTAACTTCAAATTTGAATGGGACCAAACATAAAGTATACACTCCCAAACAGAGATTTAAATAAAATATAGTTCATAAATGATAAACTTTTGAGTTCAAAAACATAAAAGCATCCTTTTTTTTGGAGATTGTTAAAAAAACTCATTTCATAGCACACCTATGTATACCTACAGTTTATATAATATATGGGACCATGAGATACAGTTTACCAAAAAGGATTGATGAGATAAGATTGAAAATTTGGTTGAGTAAATTAATAAAAAAAATCTTGTGGCAAATTGAACGAAGAAAGAAATGTTTACACCCCTACAAATACAGTTTGAAGTCCACAAAGTATCTAGTATATATCTGATAATCTGATAATCTGTCATTATTTATTTTCATTATCTTTATTATAGGATTTCTCCCATATTGTATTTAATATGTTAGTGAGTTAACAAGCTAGCTACTTTTCCAGAGCAAAATTAGTCCAAATTATAGAAGTGGAAAGGATCCAGTCCTGCATGGGATACAAATCTATAGATTAGTAAAAGTTCATTTTACTTATTATGGAACATTATTACAATATATAATAGCATGGAAATAGCTGCAGTAGGAAAAATTGTGTGAACATTACATTGCAGTATTCATTTGTAGCAACAGTTTTAATAAAAAAAAGTTATCTGGAATTGAAAAGGTTGTAAACAGTAAAACCTCTAAACAAAAATAAATTATAAAAAAGGATAATAATAGGACATTCAAAAACGGTGTTAAGTAATTCGTTCGTTGCTTTTTACTGAGTGAGTGAGGTTATCGGAGCTCAAATTCTTCCTCCCGCTGACTCGAACGGGAGGCACTCGAAGGGCAGCAACACACTTGTGACTTTTGATTTGCAGGTGTCCATGGGCGGCGGTAGTTGCTTACCATCACCCGTCTGCTCGTTTGCCCCCTTATACCATAAAAATAAAACATTTGGTCAATCGCGCGCGTGAGTGTGTGTTCGTGTGTGTGTTAGTATTTGTATTTGGAGTGTATTTGTATGAGTGTATGTGCTTTGATATGTGTTTCAACATATAACCTTTTAGATTTGTAGTTAAAACAAAATAGCAAGGGGCAACATTTACTATGTATGAGTTTGAAATTTAGGACATATGTAGAATTATTGTTCTGTTTCCATATCACAAAAATGTGTAGAGATAAGTGTATTTGTTTACCACAGTGGCAATTCTTTGTTATAAAATAATATTTTTAGTGTATTCGTCACGAATTTTTATCAGCACTGAGTTGTAATGTAATATACTACGTTTAATATTCAGCTAGTACCAATTATGAAAAACGTTGTCTAATATGTCATAATGTTCATATTTAACAAATGTTATGTTAGAAACTTTTCTTCTGTATATAATATCACCTTGATTTTTTTGTGCAGTCCCTGCAATGGACTGTAATAACGCATAGTGGACTCTTATGGAACAAGCATCTTGATGCAAAACTAAACTAAGCTGAAACATCATCATTAACAATAGTTACTGACTTTGACTGCGCCGATGTCGTAATGCTTTCAGCGGTCACCTCGCCGCTTTCTATTGCGCTGAGTGTTGTAGGTTCGATCTCCACATGGAACACTTTGTGAGTCTGAGTGTTCTTTGTGTGTGTTTCGTAAATGTTTGAAAAGTCCCCTGCGACGCAGGATATATTCCTACCGCGGGCGTAGTCCTTTAGAAAAAAAACAAATTAGATTATACATAATTACACCTTAGTGTATGGAATGGTCATATCCACCCTAATTACGAACGTATCCTGGTATTGTCCGGTGCCAGTGCACAGAACTAAGGCTTAAGAAAAACAAACTATTAAAAATAAATATTCTATTGTCTCTTTAATCTCTCGTTCTACTCTGTACTACAATCAAGAGGGTACCTACCCATTGCAAGATATGACGACGCCACCTATGAGTTGCCTTCAATGGCTGCCATGTTTTTTAACCAAATACGCTGGTTGAATTGACTATCACAACCGACTCGACATCCAAATGTCGTAAGAATCTTTATGGGTTACTTTTAATGGTTCGTAATTGACACTTATTCACCATCAATACAACAGACAACTTTCATGTCTCAGCACGGAAAACATGTTCGCATCCTGGAGTACGGGGATTAATCACATAATGTGTAAGTATCCTCGCTAGTGGAAATTCGTTCCTTGAAGCCTGTGAATTCTCGTCTGATATAGAATCTACATTAATTGAAAGGTATATTATTTAAGTATCCAATAACATTTCTAAAGGTCCTATATTGAAAGTAAAACTAAAATAAATTAAGTCATACATGTTAATAAAGGATAATAGTAGTTTGACTAAATTACATTAACTAGTTAAATTGGTAGCTGTTGAAGGTCTTTATCTCAATCTTATTTCCTACTGTTGACACTTTTGTAAGTACACATGTTTATATTGTTATCATATCCAATTATTGTAAGAACTGGCTTGTTTTTATTTAAAATATATACTTAATAATATTTGGGACAGCTGACGCATAACGCCATCTAGTTTCAAACTTAAAGCTTGTACTATGAAAATTAGATTGACCGATAGAATACTTAAATACCTTTTTTGTGAATACAAGTTATAATTCCAGGTTTTCTATTTCTTGACTATATACAGTTAATTGACACAACTTACAAATGCACAAAATCATTATTAGATTAAAAAAAAGTATATTCGTTGGTATTTAGTCATCATCATCATCAACAGCTTATAACAGTCCACGGCTGGACATAGGCCTCTCCTTAGAAAGGAGGTTTTGGCCTACTATACCACGCTGGCCAGACGGGGTGGTATAGGGTTTTTTCAAGTTTTCCTTCTCTTTGCAGTACTTTT